CAACTTATGCTTTTTCGAACTTTGAATGCGTATTACAGCAATATGGATAAGAGCACAGGAATGTATCTAATACTTGCTGGATTCCCCAAACATTCAGCTTTCATATGCATATATTGGATTCATTCTATCTATTATAGTTTTCGAGTAAATCAATGAAATGTGAAAACACTGCTTTTCGCGTCAATTCTTCAACTTGAACGTATTCAGCAATATTATATATTTAGTTTTCGAGTAAATCAATGAAATGTGAAAACACTGCTTTTTCGAAAGTTCTCATTTAAATTTTTCAACTTTGAACGCGTATTACAGCAATATGGATAAGAGTACAGGAATGTATCTTTACTTTAGCAGATATTTGGAAAATTGCTCACTGCTACTAATATTCGCGCCTCCCCTTAGACTAGTCGACGCTTCCCCAGGGAGGCGCGCCTCACAATTTGGAAAACGCTGCCGTAGAAGTCAAGAAGCTTGAATAAATTTATATTTTTTTCTAAATAAGTCTAGTCGAATGACCTTGAGCGCAGTTGATTTGCTTTCTTCTGTTGCTGTTGCCATCACGAATGTCTGGCATGCGAGTAAAAGTGAGATTATTTACAAATGAGTAAACACGGGCGTACGCACTGTATACACGCTTCCAGTTAGAATTCAAGGACATCGAGCGTTCAGTTCTCATTCATTTACTACACATTCAAACTTTATGAGACAAAATAAGGAATTGCTATAAGAAGTAACACGATTCTAAGACATAAAAAGTGTACATCTTATGATGTGAAGCGTATGGTAATAGATCAAGAACAACTGATGATTCTTTAAGCGAATAAATTGCATTGAATTGATGTAATAGTTGTTAACATCCGCATGAATTATGCACTAGTTTAGTAGAAGCGATGCGTACGTTAGATGATACGCGGAGATATCCTGCAAGCATCGCGCGTCGAGTTCCGAGAAGGCGCGCGCGACTCCGGCTGGGAAATGTTTTGTTTTTATTCAGCGCTTTTCTAAACGGTGACGTATCCGCCGGAATACCAGACCGTATCATACTCGTCGCGGATATTTCACATGACGTATCCAAGAGCTGTTGATAGGTGGTGGGGTCTAGGGGGATCCCGGGCAGAGACCCGTCGCGTCGCGCGTTCTCTGCCCGCTTGCTCGGCAAGTCCAGTTTTCGAGTTGGAAATCCCCGTGAAATCGCGGATCCTCTCCAATAAAGCGCAGGTCTATGTAGCCACTGTACTTATTACCAGGGAAATGCTGCAAGCACACTCATCCAACTTTCGCGAATCGCTAGAACACTGGAAAACTCGCGCCAAAATGTGTTCAAATAGCAAGTACAGGTGCGGTTGCGTTCAAATGGTCAGGAGCAACGAGCTATTACTCTGTGATGCCGTCTACAACTATTTCAAATCACACGTGAGTTTCGAAAATTCGAATATTACAAAGGATTGAATTAATTGATTTATTTCGAATAAAAATAGGCGAAGATGCAAGGTAGTACGAAGCACCACGATCCAAGCTGCAGTTGCCAAGAATGCGAGGAAAAAGATGTACCTGTACCAGTGATGGAGAGCGAAGCTCTGAACTTGTCAGCGCCGAGCACGAGTCGGGAGAGGAAGCCAGTTAGGCGGAAGGAGTTCAAGTGCAACGACTGTGATAAAACGTTCACCCACAAAGGGGATTACAACAAACACCTGAGGATACATTCCGGGGAGAAGCCGTACACCTGCACCGTTTGCGACAAGAAGTTCGCTCACACCTCCAACCTGACGAGACATTTGAACGTGCACTCGGGCTTGAAGCCCTTCCACTGTGATATTTGCGACAAGAGTTTTGCCAGGAAGGACAAACTGGAGGCGCACAGAAACACCAAGATCTGCTCGAAACGAAGAATCAATTCACCTCAGTGATTTATTTATTATAGAACGCTTAATTTAATAAATTATATTTGTATATATGTGCGTGTGCACATTTGATAGAAAACCATCCCTAAAAGTCGCCGCAAGTCGGAAAGTTCTCAGGCAGAGCTTGGAAATTATCGCCGACCTTCAGAAGCAATCCCATCCCAGCCTCCAGGTGATGCTCCACGTGACAATGTACGAACCAAAATCCTGAAAAAACACACAATTGATCGAACGTCAACGAGAGAACTGATCATCCTGAAAACCTGGGTTGTCTGATATGAATCTCAGGATAATGTAGCCTTTCGCCGGAATCGTGATGACATCTTTCAGCGGAGGATTGTCGAAGTTCCTGTTCAGCAACCCTTCGCTATCCATTTCCTTCACGCTCTCCACGGAAATCGAGTCAAAAGAATCCTGGCCGAGAACCCGGAAACCGTAGCCATGCAAATGGATCGGATGTGAGAGATTGTAATTACTGCTATCGCTGTCAATCAATATGATCTCAACTGTATTATTAAAAGGAATCTACGGGCAAAAACATATGTATTTTCGTTTGATATTAATCAATATATTACCTTCACGACGTGAACGCATTCGCAGATCGTCTCGTTTTTCGGGCAAATGGTTTTATTTTCGTTGTTGCAAAACGCGAAATTGTTTGGTGTTTCTATTAACGCTTTGCTGGGTAATTTCAATGAAATGTTGTTAATAGTCGGTGTCGTCTTGTTTGGGTCAAAGCCGGGACCTCCGTATTCGGCCAACGCGTAATTAAACACGTCAAAGGTCAAGTAATAGCGAAAAGGTGCTGTTGCAGTTAAACGCTCTGGAGGTGGATCCACGGATCTTGTCTGTGGTATCTCGATGCAATCAGGTGACGCCGGAAAGTCATTGATGCAATTCAATATCTGCAATATTTAACTCTTTAATACCAATGTCCAAGTTGTTGCAAACAACCCAAAAAATAAAAATATACCGGTATCTGATCTGTTTGTTCAGTTATTGGTGGAAGCGTGACATCGCCGATATTTGGATTCTCTGCATAGGATAAAACTGCGGCGCCTTCGGTTCCACCACAGTCAATTGACCCATTAAACCTCATCCAGTACAATCCGCCCTCGTCTTGATCAGCATTCAAGACGAAATCGTATCTTTCCGCGACATTGATAACAAATGAACCAACTGCAAAGTGACCTTTAGGAGCACCGGTCGCAAGATTTATGATTGCTTACCAGTAATTGGCTTCAAGTCGAAACCGTCGGAACTGATGATGGTCAAGTTATGTTTGTCGATTTGCACTTGAATTGGGCAAACGCGGTAACCCACGTTGATTATACGAAAACGATATCTGTTACCCTTAAAGATATAATTATCTTAACTCAATTCATTATAAAGAGTTTCAATAAGAACTAATACCTTTACTACGTTAAATCTAGCTGCTGGTATATTGTTATTCGCTTGGTTATAACCGAATTTGTTGACCAGAATAGCGGAAACCTTTGACGGATCAATTATTTCGCCCAATCTGTATTCCATGTAGAAGATCCTGTTTGCGTCGTATACGTACCAATCTTGGACGCTAATAACGTGCTCAGAAAGATCAAAATCGTACAAATCCGCATGGGGATTATCACTTTCAGGTAGTTTAACAATCAAAGGTCCAATGGCCCCGTTAACTCTCTGCGAACCTAAGCAGCAAACACGAAATTGAAATCGTCAATTAGTTGATGCGTGCGTTTTTACCCATGTGCGAATGGTAGAAATGTGTTCCAGCAGGATCGGCTACAAAATCGTAACGGAAAAGGGCGTTCGGTGTGACTGGACATTGCGTGACACCACCAACGCCGTCCATCCAATTCGTATTCCTCTGATGCATCCCGTGCCAATGGACTGAAGTCGCATCGTCGTTGATCTCGTTGTAAAAATCAACAACGATACTGTCCCCGTGACACACTTCTATCATCGGACCGGGCATCATCCTGTTGTAAACGTTGATCAAATTCTGTACGCCATCCGCCACCACGCAATCGGGATTCTGGCAATCCGTCATGTTCTGCTGTGTCGAGCAATTTCCGCATTCCACGCCGTTGGTGAAGATCCATTCAAAGTAAAACTCGTACTCGCAAGTCATCGAAGTCCCATTGCATTCCCTTATACATGGATGCGTCTTGTAATCTGGAAACGAAACGAAAAGATTCGATTCAATCATTAATTAAGTCGAGTCCTTTTACCTGGTCTGTATAAGCATTCAAGTGAGCCGAAAAAGGCGAAGACAATTATTAGGCGACACACGAAAGACTTCATTATTTCGCGATCATTAACTAAAAAGTAAATTTGCTTTAACTTATATACCATTTTATCTACGGGTTAGTTAGTTATTTATTGTTGCAATTAAGGCTTTAATGGAGCGCAGGAAAGTTAATTGAAAACAAAAAGAGAAATACCAAACAATTCCACTTCGCAATATATTTCCATAAATCATATTAATATTTGCTATTGTAAACAATAAAATTACTAAAGAAAAGAAAAATAATAACATTGTACTATCCTAAATAGTTTCCGCACCGTGGGAAATTCAAAGGAGGAATTAAGTTTGGTCCCGTTTGCAGGACGAATCCCATACCGACTTCCATGTGATGCTCCACGTGGCAATGGGTGAGCCAGTAACCTGAAGATGTTATTAATTGTAAAGAAAATTACATGCAGATTTGTTAAAATGTACCTGGATTGTCGGCATAGAATCTGATTATGACGTAGCCTCCATCAGGAATGGAGACAGTGTCCTTTCTCACTGGATTCGTGCAGTTCCTCTTCAATAAACCTCTGTTGTCGAGATCCCTTACTTGCTGGAAGGTGGTATTAGTTCCGAGTCGGTCCTGTCCGATGACCACGAATTCGTAACCGTGCAGATGGAAGGGATGCGACAGATCGAATACGGATCCTTCGTCGACTATTATGAGCTCAACCAGACTGTAAAGTGGTATTTGGACGACGTGCGTGCACTGGCAGATTCTAGGTCCTGCTGCATTGTTGCATCCATTGCAGAAGATCTGCGGCTGATACTCCTGATTCAGTGGAGTGCTTGGAAAGACGAAGGAGATGTTGTTGACTACCGGTGCGGTCAAAACATCATCCATAGGTCCGGCGAATTCCGGGAGGGCGTATCGAATGGTGTCCAAGTTGAAGAAGTATTTGAAGCTGGGTATGCCGCAGTACCTGCTACTACTCACAGCTGATTTGACTTTGGACATGTCCCAGCAATTAGGTACATCGTTCGGCACATTGATGCAATTCATGATCTAAAGTACACTCTGCATGAATAAATTGATCATTGATGGTTTTTGTAAAGTTAAGCACCATTCCAGCATTTGCAGTTGCGTTGGTCGTAGGTTCCGGAAGAATCGCCGGTTCTGGAGCGTTCGGATCAGTGACGTACCGCAGGATAGCCCTTCCTTCCTTGTTTTCGCAATCCATCAAACCCAAGAACCGCATCCAGAAGGTACCCCCGTCCTGATTGGCAGTCACCACGATATCAAACCTTTCTCCATTATTTATATAAAGCGTTTGGACTGGAATCAAGATTGCCAATTAACACGTGTTGTACAGTGCAGAAGTTAACATCTTTACCAGTGTAAGGAGTTGTGTCGTAACCATCTGAACTGATTACTGTCATGTTATGGTTGTCGATGGTAATCTTGATTGGGCAAACCCTGAAACCACCGTTGACGAACCTAAATCTGTACCTCAATCCCTTTAATTGAAAATCAATTTATTTAATGCAAGGAAACAAACTGAACGAATTTATACCCTTTGCACGTTGAATCTGGCTGGTGGTATTGCGTTGTTTTCATCCCAACCGAAACGGTTAACGAGAACTGCGGTAACAACGTTCTCAGGAAACTGCCTCAATCTGTATTCTTCGTAGAACAATACGTCCGGAGACCTTTCGTTGATTTCCAAAAGGACGATGACGTGATCCGAGCTGTCCACATCGTACAAACTTCTTTGCACGTTGTCCTGATTCGGTTCCCGCACAATTAAAGCTCCGTAAGCGCCGTTCACCCTTTGATTACCTTCAAAGCAAATTATGAAATGCACGACCAGTCCAATGTGAGAGTGATAGCTTACCAATGTGAGAGTGATACCAGTGGGTGCCGCTTGGGAATGCCTCAAATCTATACTGGAACACGTTGTTCGGATGCACGGGACACTGAGTAATGAAAGGGACACCGTCCATGTAATTCGTGTATCTCTGGTGCATCCCGTGCCAATGAATCGATGTTGCGACGTCCCCAAGTTCGTTGTGCACTCTTACGATCACCGTATCATATATGCAGACCTCGATCTGAGGTCCCGGCATCATCCTGTTGTAAACCGTGACGAGATGATTGGCACCATCTGCAGGAATGCATCCGTACGAAAAGCAATCTGCGTAATTCATAGTGCAGTTAAAACATTCCGGTGCTCTCGTCATTATATATTCATTATAAAAATCGTATTCGCAAATCATCCTTATGGACCCGGTGCAATCCCTTTTACAAGTATGATTTCTATAATCTGAAATCAAAATTACATTCTACGTACTTCTCAAAAACACAAATAAAGTTCACTTAAATCTACATTATTTCACTTTCATTGATAAATACCTAATCTTGGCTCGAGGCATTCGCAGCTGCTAAAGAGACTTAAAGCCAATAGCAAAAATCCTACCAAATATTCCATGTTCTTGTCTTCTTTCACACTGAAACTGTTAATTCCAAGAAGGAAATCAATGGTATTTATATATAGGTGGAGAATAAGCTTATCAATGTTTTTATTTTAGCAAAATTTCAATATTATTGTAAACATTTTAATTTAGTCTACTGCAATAATTATTTGCAAAAATTTCCAAATATTTAAATATTAATTGTATTTATTTTCGTTCACGATTTCCAAACCATACATTTCAATTCATAAAAATATGTTCATTCTGTCCTATTATTAAATCATTTAGAATAAAAGGAAATCTGATTGTTTTAAATATTTGATTTCTTCGATAATTCATCATAAATAGAAAAATTAAACTATAGTAAAAAAAAAACAATCATTTGTATCCAATGTACTAAATTAATTAACCCGTTAAATTATCGTTATTTTTTCTAATTAACTTTATTTACTTTTAGTGATTAGTTGAGTTTAAAAAAAAATATTGGTTTTGTGAGTGAGTTTATTGCTTGTTTAGTGATTCGAGCAACAACAACAAACGACCACATTTAAACTCAAAAGTGTCAATTAAGATAAACTAAACAATATTAATTGTGAATTTCAAGCCGTAATCAGTAACCTTCGAGTTTAAATGAACTTTAAATATAATTAATTGCCATTCACTAGTTTTTTTTTAGCACTAATTTTACTTCTTACAATGTAAAATACTTATATATTTTTTTTAACAAGAATTCTTGAAATCTATTAATAACTGTTTTATGGAATACTTCTTGAATCATGGCATTTCATTCATCTTCATCACTTTTCTAGTGAATATTTGATGTTAACTTTGTTAAGAAAGTTTTAGAAGTTTTTTTTTTATAATTGAATACTAAAAAATGTTCAAGAAGTGGCGCATCAAAGTCTACCCTCAAAAAGGGAACCTGCCCCCCAGTCACACTGAACAGTAAAATCATCCCGCAGACCGACGATGCCAAATACTTAGGCTTGTTCTTTAATCGCCGACTCACGTGGAAGAAGCACATCGCAGCCAAAAGGAAGCAACTGGGCATCAAGTTCGCGAAACTGTATTGGCTGATCGGCAAAAGATCTCCACTATCCCTCGACAACAAACTGTTAATTTACAAGACAATGTTGAAGCCGGTGTGGACGTATGGCATCCAGCTTTGGGGAATAGCCAGCAATTCCAACATCGAGATCCCGCAACGCTTCCAGTCCAAATGCCTGCGTACCCTGGTGCAGGCCCCTTGTTCGTGATGAACAACACGATACACAACGACCTCCACATGAACACTGTTAAGAGTGAAATCCCCAAGTTCAGTGCCCTTTACCAGAACAGACTGGAAAACCACCCCAACAGTCTCTCGTTATCCCTCCTAGTCAATAGTGACAGCCCCCACAGACTAAAGAGACACCGCACTCTCGACCTCCCCTTTAGAAACTAAAAGTTAGTTTTATTGTTCATTAGAGTTTTTATTTAAAGTTTCATAGTATCGTCAAAATCAATTTTAGTTGGGTTGTTATTGTCATTGAATTATTTTTTTAGTTAAATTTATATTTGTTTATAGGCAAATGGGAAATCGTTCCGCTCCACGCTTGATATTTTGTTTTTCTGTTATTATTTTCTTTTTTGTCCACTGCCCAAACATATTCTACTCATTGCCAAAAATGGCAGGTTGTGAATAAAATAAAGGATACAAAAAAAAATGTTAATTATTAGATCTTTGCTGTATATTTTTGTCAACAGTCGGGAGAAATCTTCAATAATTTCTATAGTACATACAGGGTGTCATAAAAGAAGCATTACCATTTTGTTTTAATGACATTCTTTTTAAATTGAGGTTATAATTTGTACACTAATGCAATAATTGACAAATAGAACATAGCAGCATTAAGTCCATATCATATTCTACAAATAATTAAAAGAAAAATATATCTTCGTACATTTTTTCACTCTAAGAAAGTAAGTTTATTTCATGACAACTTGGAGTAACGCTTCTTTTATGACAAGTGTACATTTAGGTATATTGTTGCAGTTATTACTTTTATCGAACTGATTTATTAGATGTTTACATTATCACAAGTTTTGTGAGATGCTTCACTCAAATTCTTAAGAAATGTATAGTATTTAATAGCTTTTCAATGATTTTTATTTATTTTTATAAAAACAAATTAATGGTTAGTTTTGTATTTAATTACTTATTAGCAAATTATATCACATAGAAACAGGGAAAGGATGTTTTTCTTATATATGAATAATACATATCAATTGTATATATGCATTATGTATTTGTTTATTATAGAATACAAGATAGATCAGTGAAGATTCCGATCTCAATTATTGTAGAATAAAGGTATTGCAATGAATGTAAATAATTAACTTCGAGTAGAATGTACATTTATTATATTTTATTTCAATAATCAAATCAAATGCGTGCAACACATTTAGATTTAGCCGTAGTAGTCACCGCATCGTGGGAAGTCCTGTGGTGGAAATTTAGGGTTTCCGGTCTGCAAAACAAAGCCCATTCCGACCTCCATGTGATGTTCGACGTGGCAATGCGACAACCAGTAACCTGAAGACGTTCATTAAGGTTTGCAATACAGATGAATTAAGGATATTTTACCTGGATTATCAGCGATGAATCTGATTATGACGTAACCGCCGTCCGGAATCGAAACTGTGTCCTTCAAGATTGGACGATCGCAGTTTGTCTGCACAAGATTGTTCTCGACTAAACGTCTAATGTCCCACGTCGAAGTGGACGTTCCGAGCCGGTCCTGGCCTACCACAGCGAATTGGTAACCGTGCAAGTGAATGGGATGGGACAAATCGAAAACGGTTCCTTCATCCACAAGAACCAACTCCACCAAACTGCCGTGAGGTATGGAAACCACGTGCGTGCACTGGCAGATCGGAAGACCTTGGCAGTTCTGTTGGTTCTCGATGTTGCAGAAGTTATTCGGCTGATACTCTTGCACAAGAGGAGTGTGAGGAAATATGAAGGAAATGTTGTTGACGACTGGAGTGGTGATTACATTTTCTTGACCTGGTCCTTCGAATTCAGGAAGGGCATAGTTGTACGTATCGAAGCTAAAGTAGTATCGGAAGTCGGGTCTTCCGCAGAGGCGAGGAGATTGAACGATAGATCTCAGTTGGGTCATATCCAGACAGCCCGGCACTCCACTTGGTGTATTGATGCAGTTCATTACCTACAGAAAAAAATAACAATTAAGAATGCGAAAAAAGAGTGATAACAAATTACCAATCCGTCAGGTGCAGGTTGGGTGGTGGGTAAAGACAATGTTTGTGGCTCCGGAGCATTTTGCACCGTGTCGTAAGTGAGAATAGCGCGACCCTCCTTGTTTTCGCAATCCATCAAACCAAGGAAACGCATCCAAAATCTGTCCCCGTTTTGGTTGGCAGTCACCACAAAGTCGTACCTTTCTCCATTATTGATGTAGAACGTTTGCACTGTAGACACAATTCATTATCAAATGCGTTCATTAAAAATAACAATAATAAAAGATTATGTTACCGGTTACAGGCTGGATATCTTCACCGTCTGAACTGATGATGGTCATATTGTGATTATCAATTTTAACCCTGATAGGGCAAACTCTGTATCCCCCGTGGATAACCCTGAACCGATATCTGAATCCCTAAATAAATAAATAGATACAAGATATTTCGGTTTGTTTTATTTAAATTAAATTATATTTACCTTTCGCACGTGGAACCTGGCTGGAGGAACGCTGTTCGATTCGTTGTAACCGAATCTGTTGACAAGGATTGTAGAAACCATGTTATTATTTATCTGCTTCAATCTGTAATCCTCGTAGAACAGTTCGTCCGGCGAAACGCGGTACATTTCCATCAAGGAGATGACGTGATCGGAACTATCGAAGTCGTACAATTGTCGATGAGGATTGTCGAAGTCCGGTCTTCGCACTATCAGAGGTCCGTAAGCTCCGTTGACCCTTTGATTACCTTTAAACAATAGGAAGTTTAGCGATTTGTAGATGAAAACACTTAAATAAAAGGTTGTTACCAATATGCGAGTGATACCAGTGAGTGCCGCTGGGATTGGCTTTGAATCTGTATCGGAATATGTTGTTGGGTTGAATGGGACATTGCGAAACGAACGGTACTCCGTCCATCCACGGCATCTCCCTCTGGTGCATACCGTGCCAATGGATCGTCGTCGCCACATCAGGCATATCATTGAACAGAGTGACGAGTACAGTGTCTCCCATGCAAACTTCGATCTGTGGTCCGGGCATCATCCTGTTCAAGATGCTCACAAGATGATTTGCACCATCGGCGGGAACGCATTCGGGTCTCCAGCAATCGTTGTAGTTTCCGTTCGGATTTACAGTGCAATTAAAACAATTCGGTTCCATGGTGTAGATCCATTCGAAATGGAATTCGTAGCTGCAAGTCATCACCTGCCCATTGCATTGCCTCTTGCACACATGATTTCTATAGTCTAAACAAAAATATATAGAATTCAAACACATTCATCAATCTAATAACTGAATTATAATAATTACCTGGTCTGACTAGGAAATCGAAGCAGCTGAAGAAGCTGACGAACAACAGCAGATACCCTAAAAGGTGTTTCATTGTTTGAGTAGGTCTGTTAGTCTTCAATGTCGAAATCCGCTCTATATATACACCAATGCACCAGTCGAAGATTCGGGTATCTTATCGACGACGTTTGTGCAAATTTATTGTAAATTGTTAAAATTTATGTTTTGTTGTTTGCATTGTATTTATTAGGCCAAATGACCGGAGCACTAAATTAGCAAACGGCAATAAAGAACTCTTGTATCTAAGTATGACATCCTTAATGACTGATTACGTCTAACTATAATTACCCATGCACCTTTCCCAGAACTAAATAGCAATTATTGTCTATTTTTTTGTTGTATTGTTTTGAACAAATATCGAAAAAGAAATAATTAATATCTTATCACTCATACAGTTTGTCTAAATTAGTTTAATCAAACATAGAATTCAATCCAAATTGTAGCAAAAGTAGTTAATTGTTTATATTTTTCATTTTCATTGTAAATTATTCTTTTTTTATGGTCTTAATTTCAACATAAAACACATATTTATATTAGGTTAAGGTAATTCAGAAACAAATATTAGAAATATTTGTTTCAATAAGATATAAAGCAGCAGAAGTATAAAATAGTTGTCGAATCGTCAGGATTACTCCCGAGTGAGGCGTTTGGAGAAGCCATTATAAACCACTAATAAACTTAGTAAACTAATCCTTCTGCAATCTCAGAGCTAGTGATCTACATCAGCGTTAAGTCTCAGCTACTGTGGCCTTCCAGTTCACAGTCTGAATCTCAATTTGAATTTATTTGGAAGAACTGTTGTTGTGTCCAACCGTTATTATTACAATTATTATTGTTAATATAGTGTCTCTTAGTCGCATAATAAATATATACATCAGCATAAAGGTAGCCTTCATCGAGACCAGCTACTGAAAGAACATCGCTCATATTTTCAACCAGACGCAGAATTGGCAAAATCCGTATAGGAGCAGTCTTATAAAAATTGTGCTTACTCCTCAAACTCCCACCCCTTGCTTAGTTAACTTTATACGTAGAAGTATTTGTAATTAGTCTTAGGAAGAACGCTAAAGAATCAACTACTGGGTGAAGAACCACAATAAAGCAAATTGAAGTAACTTAGGAAGAACGTTAAAAAACAAGAGTATCGTTAAGAAATAGCATTTTAATAATAAACACAAGTAAAAGTCTTGACTACTGGGGAAGAACTACAATAAAGCAAACACTTTGAAGAATATTTTAATAATAAACCAAAGTAAAACTCGTTCAATTTATTATTTACCAAACCTAAGGCTCCACAACAGACAACAGAAGAAGATATCCCACAGTGTCCAGAAAACCATCCCTGGGACACGACACTGTTGTTTACACGCACCAGCGTGATTGAACAAAAATTTAAATTTGAGAATTTCTATTTAAAAACAAAACAAATACTTTCATAATAGTCCATTTATTTCAGTTTATTTCTACTTTAAGAATGATTTCTCTGATTACAAACATAATACACTCACTGTACGGCTTTCACATATAACAGCCTTCTTTAATTATAACACTTTTTCGATTTACGGCTCAAAATATTTCCTTAAACGGCCAAAAAAAAGTGTAAAAAATGTTTATATCAAAATAACAGAAAGAGTCGCCTCTTCGACAAGGAGAAGGTGGAGGTGTTTGCTGACCATCTAACAAACGTGTTCCAACCTTTCCCGGCAGGATTTGCAGGGGAAGAGAAAAAGGAGATTATAGAATTCCTGGGGTCTCCATACCAAAAACTAATTAAAGTTAGTGTTAGTTATTCTTTTATAAGAATTCTGTGGAGTTTGGTCGCTGGATCAATCTCTAATATATATTTTTATATTTTCATTAATTAATCCAGAACTAGAGCTTGTTATTTGTTATTCTTCTTTTATGCTTATAGATAGATGTAAAAGAAAAAATAACAAAAAAAAAATTGATTCCTTGTGTATCTTTTCACTTTACGGCAGTGGTTTCCAAACTTGATGTTACTACGCCTCCCTTAAAAATATTTAATCATTTGGCGCTTCCCCTTCGCCCCTCCATTTCATAAAATGGATAAGAGTTTAGCAATCATTTGGAAAATTGCTCACTGTGACTAATATTCGCGCGTATCCTTACGAGGCGCCTTTCTAGGGCGCGCCTCACAGTTTGGAAAACGCTGTTTTACTGTCAACGAGGTATTAGTATATTTGTATATGAAGTTCACTAATATTTGATAAAAAATAATATTTCTATAGTTATTATTCATACTTACTTTTATACAAACCAATATCATAGTTTTACTACAGAAAACCGCAAATACGACATCCCACAGTGTGTGAGAAGTCAAAGATACGGTCACATAAGGGCTATTGCTCTCTGATGCCTCGCTGCGTGAAATGGGGCAAGAACCACCTCACAGCAGAGTGCAAGAAGTAGAAAATAACAGAAGCAACGTGTGCCCTGTGCAGCGGGAAACACCCTGTCAACTACAAGGGCTCTACCGTGTACAGAGAGATGCAGAGTCGTAAGTTCCCCAGGGTGAGGGAGAAGAAATTGATACCGACAACTAGTGCGTCGTCACAGCCTCAGCCGTCTTAACCCAAAGAGTTTCCACGGATCAAACCAGATTATCATACGCAGATGCGGCCAGAGCAAACCAGAGGAATACACAGCCCAAAAGCGAAGATGAAGATAAGTATGAATTATTTATTAATTAATTGACTATAGAAATATTATTTTATTCAAATATTAGTGATCTTCAAATACAAATATACTAATACTTCGCTTTACGTTGACAGCAAACCAGCGTTTTCCAAACTTTAATTATTATACAAACCAATATCATAGTTTTACTAAAGAATGCCACAGTGTGCAAGATGTCAAGAACCACCTCACCGCGGAGTGCAAGAAGGAGTAAACAACATGTGCCCTGTGCAGCGGGAAACACTCTGCAAACTACAAAGGCTGTACCGTGTACAGGAAGATGCAGAGTCGTAAGTTCCCCAGGGTGAGGGAGAAGAAATTGATGCCACCAACTAGTGCGTCGTCACAGCCTCAGCCGTCTCAACCCAAAGAGTTTCCACGGATCAAACCAAGCTTATCGTACGCTGATGTGGCCAGAACCAGAGCAAACCAGAAGAACACGCAGCCCAACAGCGAAGGTGAAGTCAGTCCAAAACAGGATCCGGTAGTACCGCCGCAGCTAACAATAGTCAAGCTATTGGACAAAATCGACACGCTGTTGAATGTTGTGTTTCCTATAGACTGGAAAACCAACAGTGTTAACACTCCTCCCAAAAGACTTAAAAGACACCCTCGACCTCCCCTTTTCGAACTAAAACAGAAAACATTTTCTTTTACATTGTATAGTCACCGTTATCATAATTCATATTTTTAAGTTATTGTATTGACAAAATTAATTTTTATTTAAGTTGCATTTGTCAGTTAATTTATATGTATTTGAAAGGGAGATCATTCCGCTCACTATTTTCTTTTCTTTTTTTTGTACACTGCCCAAACATATTCTACTCATTGCCAAAAATTGTGAATAAACCTAAGAAGAAAAATAATTAATAATTCCATCAGATTTTAACACATCGAAAATAATGATTACAAAAACCAATTAATTATTACTTTATTACAGTTGAATTAAAAAAAAGGGAAACAAAATAATTAGTACAAAACAATACAGTTATCAGAAACGTTTATTGGAATTACTTGTCACTAGTATCCATTTCACGAAACTCATTAACTCGTATCTATTTAAAAAAAAAAATTATAATTTTCCTTCAATACATCAATAGTTAAATCTCGTTGCGTAATACAAAATAAATTCTGTTTATTGCAACCACACCACAAAGTTATTTGTTTCATTGTTAATTTAAAAATCATAAATATTAATGTTGAAAACAAAACAAAAATTGATAAGTGTTCTGTTTTGTTATTTTTATTTTATATTTACTTTTTTTATCGCAACATAAATAAACAACTTTTCTTTTTTTTGTGTATTTTCGCTTAAACATTCAATAATTATGTAACAATTTGTGTGTTAAAGGTAATAATTATTTGATTCTTTGATATTTAATCGAAAGACGACTACGTTTGCAAAAGTGAAAGTAATGCAATTAGAATCTATGCAATGATGAGTTATTAAGTAATCTTAAGCATAAATATCACAAGCGTCTTGCAATTCTTAAAAAAAAAACCAGAATCGAATTGGATGAAGAAATTGAAGCCGCACGAGGTAAAATCGCCTAAATGTGTATGGTGTAAATAAATATGTGCAATCGCCACTCATTTACTATAATCGCTATTAATTCATGGAAGCGCGCATTATTATTTTAGTTGTTTTTGTTTCGTACGCGAAAACCAATTAAAAACAATATTTACTGTTTACAATTTGCTACAATTCAAGTTAATTATATAATATTTACTACTTGGCAAACAACAACAAGTGTTGAACTATATACTGTTGTTTTTTTTTTATTATTTCAACAGTTAACGCGCTAAAATTAGTATCATTGAAGTTCTAAATTATAATTATATCACATATGCATAATAAATACGGTTATTTACAAATAATAATAATACGTTAAATTGGTTCACAGCAAGAGAGGACGTAGCAAAATTCCTAAAATGATAAGGAACGAGTACGTTTTGTGACCACAGCCGTTCGGTGAAGGCGCAGACGGTTCTAAGCCGTAGTATTCGCCGCATTTGGGGAAGCCGTGTGGAACTGGAGGCATATCTTCATCGTCGCCGAATCTGAAGATCAAAGCCATACCAATCTCCACGTGGAACTCGATGTGACAATGGAAGAGCCAATAACCTGAAGGTACACAATTCAGTTGAACGTAAGGAAACTCTTTGTTTTAACCAAATTAACCTGGATTTGAAGCGTTGAATCTTAAGATCGTGTAACCACCATCCGGTACAGTCACTGTATCTTTGATTGGAGCATCTCCGAGGTTCCTCTTCAGTAAACCTTGAGCATCCAGACGCTTTACCTCGTCTACTGTAACGTTACGTCCTAAACGTTCCATTCCTACAACTCTGAAGGAATGTCCATGGAGATGGAACGGATGGTTGGCGTCGAAGGCGAAGCCCTTATCCACCAAAATCAATTCCACGATCGAGTTTAATTTAACCTGCACAAAAAATGTAACAATTAATTTATAATTAGCAATTAATAACAGTGGTTTTAATCACTTGAATAACATGAGAGCATTGGCAAAACTCCTTTTTGCAATCTTTGTCTGCAACCGTTGATTCGTTGCAAAACAAGTTATCATCGATCAAATCCCTTTGCGAGAGCATCGGGAAAGGTGTTAGCTTCAACGAGATGTGATTCAATTGCGGCGTCAGCAATTTATTCCTGCTATCAGTAACTGAAATGCAAATATCATTCGTCAATTTTCCTCAAGAAATTATTATTTTCTTTTATCACCATTATTGAAACCGTACTCTGGGAATTTATGGAAATGCGGGTTATCGATCTCGTAGAAGTCGTAACCAACGTAATACTGTTCATCGGCGGTTTCCTTCAGGCTCGAATCCCAATCCAAGAGCGAATGAAGTTGAGGAACGCTGATCGAATCGTTACCTTCGGTTCCTTTGTTCAACGAATTCAATTGCTGGAAATATCGCGTGTTAACTTGATGATGGTGGTAGATGTTAGTTTTTACCAAGCCGTCGTTGTGGGAATCCTGGTAGTTGGGAATGGGTCCATCGGGAAAATCGGTTTTCGAAGCTCCTTCGTATTGAAGCACGGCCACCTGATGGGTGCTGGTGAAGCGATCGTCGCAATCCATCAAACCTCTGAACCTAATCCAATACAAGCCTTTCTCCATGTTCGCGTTCAGCACGAAATCGAACCTTTCTCCGGCGTAAGAAACCAACGAATCCACTGGAAAAGAAGCAATCAGTACTTAATTACTACTTGTCTTTTAATGGAAATACCTGTAACAGGTTGAAAATCGTTTCCATCTGAACTGATCATAGTCATAGTGTGATTGTCTATGGACATTTCTACTGGGCAATTCAGGAAGCCGGCGTTTATCAGACGAAAACGATATTTGTAACCCTGCAACAAATATAAGTTAATTATAATTATTTTTAAGACGACAATTGACTAATTACTTTTTCGACGACGAAACGAGCCGTTGGAGCTGATGTTGAAACGTTGCTGAAGTCGTGGATACCTAGCCCATTGACCAGAAGAGTTGTCGGTTTGTTATCGCCTATACTGTGATGGTGAGCTATGAAGACTTTAAGGCCGATGTCCACCGCCCAATCCAGAAGAGAAATCGTGTGCTGCGTTAGATCATAGTCATAAAGTTGTGAATGTGGATCTGCAGCAGCTGGAGTTCGAACTATGAAGGCTCCAAACGCTCCATCACCTCTTTGCATACCTAAAATATTATTCAATCACAACACCTTAGAAGAAAACAATGATTTTGGTTGTATTGAAAGCACTTTTGCAATCAAGGCTTCAAACCATTAAGTTCTATGTTTCTAGACAATCATTCATTCTCCTGCAATTGTTTGTAACGGTGTCGGGTCAACGAATTTGCCGTATTTTGTACATGTTCCATTGCGTTTCACAACGCCCGTATTCACTTTCCAAGTTTCACAACAGTACATAAAACAGAATTGGTCTTAACATTGGATTTCAAGATATGAATCGTATTTTCTTTCTTTTAACAAAGCATCATCATTCCCACGCTAATTTAACCCAAATAAAAAAAATATATATTTAATCCTTTTTAAAATCTAAGTAATAAGTTGAATAATTTACAGCTTTCAATTATTGTCATTTTTATTATATCCAAAACATGTTCACAAAAAACAACAACAACAACGTTCAAAATTGAGTTTATGCTTTTCTCGTGAATCAGGTTATTTATACAACATTTATTACTATTTATATACGAAGATGCTTCAAATAAAACGACAACTTCTTAAGTGTGTTTTTTGTAAACAATAGGATTTTTATGATTCAGTTTCTGAGAACTGGGAACATCTTTAGTCTTTTCGTCAAATCATCGAGTTATAATAACTTTTAATTGAGGTATAGTAGTTTGATTAAGTTAAGTTAGATAAATTGATAGGTTAGGTTGCATTTGGTTAGGTTATATTATATGACAGGTTAGGTTAGATTATGTGATATGTCAGATTACGTTAACTATGGATACAGGTTAGGTTAGGTGTTATGTAAGGTGTTTAGTTACCAGTATGCGAGTGCCAGAAATGTGTTCCTCCGTTGACGGCAGTGAAATTGTATCTGAAGATACTTCCAGGTTGTATGGGACACTGAGTGACGTAAGGTACACCGTCCATGTAAGGTGTCCCTCGTTGATGATGTCCATGCCAATGGATGGTCGTGGTCTCAGCCATCAACCTATTCTCCACGTCAACAATGATGTTGTCACCAACGCAAACCTAAACCCAAGATATCAGAAATGTAACAACGTTTCTTCAATCAATCGAAACTAATTACTTCTATCGTAGGTCCAGGCATCTTCCGATTGATGACAAGAACGGTACGCATTGTGCCATCTCCGATGATGCAGTCCGGCTTGTAGCAATCCTCCAAAACATCGGGACAAGAGAAACAAGCTTTACTGAGCGTCTGATACCACTCGACGATGAAATGGTACCGACAAACCATCGGCCTGTCCTCGTGTCCGCAGATCCTTGAACACGGATGCTGATTGTTCAAAGGGAAGTACTCAATATCAGTCTCGTTAAGCTCTGCAAATAACGCAAGAATGATTACGCAACGCGAATAAAAAGAATCGCAAAACACTTAATCGCCGTCCTTAATATATATAAATAGTTGAATGGAAGTGGTGTTTAACGTTGCTGATGGTCAAATTACAATGTTAACATCGTTGCTTCCTGCGTGAGAAGCACAATCATCCTTTTAAATTGCAAAGACCTCAACCAATTTACATTAAAATTATATAAAAATAAATAAGTAAATAACGAGCTACAACAAACCTGCGAATGGTACATCCAACAGCGGACTCTGGCAGAGGACTTTCATGCCCAAATTGAGGAGAAGGAATTGAAGAACCCAAGCCTCCATCATCTGCAATTGAAATGGCAAACATCTTTATGTTTTTTTGCATAACGAGCAATCAATGAATGGAAAAAGCGAAGCAATTGAACTTGACCGCAAATTATGCGAACGCTCTGAGGAATCCCCCAAGACGCGCGTAACCGTTGCCCTTCATTAGAACTTGCGAGCCTATTAACAAGAATCGGGATTTCCCCTTGCGACTTTCGATTTCGTCACCTATTTGCTGCTACAAATGATTGTAAAGAAACCTTCGAGTTTCGTTACAGTAGTCGCATCATGCTTAATAGCTAATCAATTGCGTAATTAACTGCGGTTTGCACTAACGTCAAGTGATTGCCATCACAATCAAATGTGTATATGTACATCAGTCTCGAGGCAAACAAAACAAAAATGATTTCATCAATTACTATAAAATTATTTTATGCTAAACTCCTAACAAAAACACACACACACACAAAGTGTTTAATTCTTCTGAGGAGAATCGAGAATAATCGAATAACACTTATTTCAAAGAATCGCCAAACAGGATTATAATTAATCAACGTTTTCATTGCGAACATACATTTTTCATCGCCGTTCCTTTCCCAAACATACATAAAACAACAACACTTAAATTTATGCAATACATACGTGAAACTAAAAATTCTTATACAACTTTGCTAAATGTTTGTCATCTTGTTTATATTATATAAATATTTTTGTTGATTTGCTCGAAAATGAAATAGTATAATTTTTGTTTTTTTTTTGTTTATGCAAACTATTCGAAAGTTGGTTTAACACATATTTTTTTTTTATTATTAATATCGATTATGCATTAACAATTATATAAATGGTAGGATTTATTACGAAAACATGTTTATTTTGATGTAGGAAATAATACAATTATCATTTTCCTCGCCGATTCGTGTTCCAGCAATGTAATTTAAAAAATAAATATATGTTAATAGTCTGAGATTTGTGTAAAATTTTTGCGAATAACAACTAGAACTAAATGCGCTGATAAGCTCAACAAGTTCACTACTTGTCTCTATGATTGTGTTATTTTTTCCTGCAAGACCAAACAATTTCATTTGTATATACAATTATCACTAATTTTGTAACAATTTTGTAGTCGTTAATTCATACACATTAATCAATTGGCTTTGCTGCGATTATTCTAGCAATTACTGTTGTATAAGGTGGGAAGACCTCGATTTATAGCCTTCTTGTGTCGTAACATATGCGTACATATGTGTATGTGAACATACTGGACGTAAATGTTATTGTTGAACAAACTCTCTTGTATTTGAATATTAATTTAATTGCGTTCCGCGATTCAAAGATTATCATTAACTTCGGTAAATATCAATATTTAATATAAAACAAAATTAAGAAATAATTGTGAAATTATCTGCATTTTTTTTTAATAGTTTGACTCGAAAACGAACGAATAGTCGTTTTGTTATCACCCCTTCAAGTACTATCATTATCAAGCTTTGTTTAACTACAAAATAAAGAATTCTCATTACAATTTATGAAAAAAATAAACATACAAACTTAATCCATTAATGATTTTGTGATTAAGTGGATTTCATTAATAACTCAATTAAATTAAAATTTCAATAAATTTCACTTTTTTTAAACAATTGTGGATATATTTATGTAAATATATTCAAAATCTATTGGGAACACAGTTTACGTAAATCGGCTAAAGTAAACGAAATTTATCAAATTCGCAAAATAATTAAGTGTTCGTACATCAAAGTTTGTTTATCTCAATTAAATCATAATCAAATATAATAATCATGTAATTGTCTACTATTTAATAACTGCAAATGTTTGCTTAGATTAATTTCACAAATGTCATGTGAATAATTCATTAATTTGTGTATATTTTATATAACTTTTTTTTAATCGAATTGATTGTTAATTACGGATGTTTTTTTTTCTTTTATAAAAAAAAATACACGAATTTGGGTCAAGTATGGCAATTAAAGAGATATATTGAAGTAATAATAACTAAAAATAAAGTAAAAAATTAGAAATAATTACAAAAAAATATGACCTTACTTATTTTGTTTTTTAAACTCGCAGTATTTGTCGCAGCTAATTAACTGTCGTACATTTGGAAGTGATCGAAAGCGGGAACTGAACAATAGCTCAAAACTTATCTAGAGTAATCAACGAAAGATTTTTTAATTGTTGTATAAGTGGCGAATAATATTCAGATAAGATAAAAAAAAAATTAAACTAATTTCGTATAGAAATTAGATGGTGACATACCTTGAATGAAGTATAAAAAAACACAAACAAACACACACACTTACACAAAAACTGTTGCTTTCCCTCCAAAGCGTGTTATCAACTAAAATAACTTTCTAGCATTATTTGAATTTGCTATCGAGCTCGAGTTCTAGCCAGCCGGTTCAAACAGAGTTAATGAGTTGGAGCGAAGATAGGTATTACTACTACCAGCACGTAGCAAAATCGTTTTTCCAGCTCCGAGATTCGATGGGTAGGGATGGGCATGGATAATCCGGAACATGGTTGGAATAACTACAGATACAGAGAGAGAGAGATGAGTCTCCGCGAAAATACGTAAACGCACATCATCAACTCGTTTGATGTGGTGCACATTTCGGCATCCTCTGCGATAAGGAAAATCATCTACAATTTTTTTTTTGTGTGTGCACCTGAAAAGCACGTAACTTGAACGGCGAAAACGTGATCCTGCACGAAAATTATAATTTCAAGAGATAAAGCGGCAGCATGTTTGCATTATTTACGGCGCCTTACGTCATTTTGGGTCGCATTAAGTGTGGTCGTTTTCGTTTATCCGCGATTAATTAGTGAAATTTCACTTTACTTGAATGTTTCTTTCTTTGGTAAAACGTGTGGGTTGTTATGTAATTTAGAAGATTTCGAAACGTCTTCTTGCTTTTAGATTGTTTGTTGTTGTTGTATCGACTAGATGTTACTACCTGCGAAAGATTCTCTTTCATTGTATTCTGTTAATGGATTTGCATTGTCAGATTATCGTGGCATTATACGCAAATTATTAACAATGACAATTAGTAACAGCTGCATTTTCGGCAGAGTGAGCTCAAAGGTCGAAATCCAATTCATGTTTTACTATCAGTGCCGGAACTTTTTCATTTTCATCATCTGTTATCATTTTTTATTCTGAAAATCTGCAATTTTTGTTGAGAAATAATTAACCAGTATAGATTTTCATCACAATGATGATGATCATCATTAGAAACATTCTTTATAGTCATTGTCTTCGAACTCTTCTCTATTTCTCGATGTATTTGTTCAGTTTTAAAAAGTTTTGTTAATTTTAGTACTTTAGCTCATTCTATTTTCATCAAATATATATTGTATTTTTGTATAGATCTATATCAAAATGATGATGATCATCATTAGAGACATTCTTTGTTCTCATTGTCTTCAAAATCTTCTTCATTTCACAATGTATTTGTTCTGTTTCAAAAAGTTTGTTAATTTTAGTACTTTAGCTCATTTTATCTTATGCTAAATATATTGTATTTTTGTATAGATCTTCATTACAATGATGATGATCATCATTAGAGACATTCTTTGTTCTCATTGTCTTCGAACTCTTCTCCATTTCCGATGTATTTGTTCGGTTTCAAAAAGTTTTCATCGAAATATATTGTATTTTTGTATAAATCTTCATTACATTGATGATGATTATCATTAGAAACATTCTTTGTTCTCATTGTCTTCGAACTCTTCTCCATTTCTCGTTTTATTTCTTTCAGTTTTAAAAAGTTTTGTTAATTTTAGTACTTTAGCTCATTCTATCTTCATCAAATATATATTGTATTTTTGTACAGATCTCTATCACAATATATGATGATCATCATTAGAGACATTCTTTGTTATCACTGTCTTCGAACTTTTCTCAATTTCACGATGTATTTGTTTGGTTTCAAGAAGTTTGTTAATTTTAGTACTTTAGCTTATTCTATCTTCATCTAAATATATTGTATTTTGTATAAATCTTCATTACAATGATGATGATCATCATTAGAAACATTATTTGTTCTCATTGTCTTCGAACTCTTCTCCATTTCCGATGTATTTGTTCGGTTTCAAAAAGTTTTCATCGAAATATATTAAATTTTTGTATAGATCTTCATTACAATGATGATGATCATCATTAGAAACATTCTTTGTTTTCATTGTCTTCGAACTCTTCTCCATTTCATGATGTATTTGTCTTCGAACTCTTCTCAATTTCTCGATGTATTTGTTTGATTACAAAAAGTTTGTTTATTTTAGTATTTTAGCTCATTTTCATCGAAATATATTGTATTTTTGTATAAATCTTCATTACATTGATGATCATCATCATTAGAAACATTCTTTGTCCTCATTGTTTTCGAACTCTTTTTCATTTCACAATGTATTTGTTCGGGTTCAAAAAGTCTTCATCGAAATATATTGTATTTTTGTATAAATCTTCATTACATTAATGATGATCATCATTAGAGACATTCTTTGTTCTCATTGTCTTCGAACTCTTCTCCATTTCTCGTTGTATTTCTTCAGTTTCAAAAAGTTTTGTTAATTTTAGTACTTTAGCTCATTCTATCTTCATTAAATATATATTGTATTTTTGTATAAAACTTCATTACAATGATGATGATCATCATTAGAGACATTCTTTGTTCTCAATGTCTTCAAACTTTTCTCAATTTCACGATGTATTTGTTCGATTACAAAAAGTTTGTTAGCTTTAGTATTTCAGCTAAGTTATCTTTCTAGTTTCCTTTTTTCTTGCTACATAGCCCTTTTTATTCCATATTTATCCTTTAATACGTTTTGATACCTTAACAATTCAATTGAACGCAAATAATTTCTTTCATTAATTTGTTTAAAATTGTAACAGATGAATTACACATGTGGATATATTTACATTTTCGATGTTACAGTAGAATATTTTCTTATTTATGTTAACAATTTCGATTTGTAATAGCTGCATTTGGGCAGAGTGAGCACAAAGGTCGGAATCCAATTGATAATTTACTATCAGTGGCGGAACTTCAAATTAGTACTTTCATTTTCTTGACATCATCTGTTATAATTTTATACTGAAAATTTGAAATTTTTGTTAATAAATAATCAGTCATTCTATCTTCATGGAAATTTATTGAAATTTTGTATAAATCTTCATCACAATGATGATGATCATCATTAGAAACATTCTTTATTCTCAATGTCTTCAAACTTTTCTCTATTTCTCGATGTATTTGTCCTGTTCCAAAAAGTTTGTTAGTTTTAGTATTTCAGCTAAGTTATCTTTCTAGTTTCCTTTTTTCTTGCTACATAGCCCTTTTTATTCCATATTTACCCTTTAATACGTTTTGATACCTTAACAATTCAGTTGAACGCAAAGAATCTCTTTCATTGATTTGTTTAAAATTGGCACAGATAAATTACATATGTGGATGGATTTACATTTTTAATGTTACAGTAGAATATTTTCTTATTTTTGTTAACAATTTCAATTAGTAATTAGTTGTTAACAATTTCATTAGAAACATTCTTTGTTCTCATTGTCTTCGAACTCTTCTCCGTTTCTCGTTGTATTTGTTGTGTTTCAAAAAGTTTGTTCATTGTAGTATTTTAGCTCATTCTATCTCCATTACAATGATGATGATCATCATTAGAAACTTTATTTGTTCTTATTGTCTTCGAACTCATTTCCATTTCTCGATGTATTTGTCCGGTTTCAAACAGTTTTCATCGAAATATATTGTATTTTTGTATAGATCTTCATTACATGTAGATGATCATGATTAGAAACATACTTTGTTCTCATTGTCTTCGAACTCTTCTCCATTTCTTGTTGTATTTCTTCAGTTTCAAAAAGTTTATTAGCTTTAGTATTTCAGCTAAGTTATCTTTCTAGTTTTCTTTTTTCTTGCTACTTAGCCCTTTTTTCCATATTTACCTTTAAATACGTTTTAATACCTTAACAATTCTGTTAAACTCAAATTATCTTTTTCATCGATTTGTTTAAAATTGGCGCAGATGAATTACATATGTGGGGAGATTTACATTTTCGATTTTACAGTGACCGACGAGATTCTTCGATTTTTATGAATTTTACATCGACTTTTTTCGCGTATGAAAAAAAATATAAGACAGAGAAGATTTTGACCCCTTACAATTCCTCCGTCGTATTGTTGTTCCGCCACTGGTTACTATGTGCTTCGAAATACTAGTCCAATTTATTTAACATAACAATATATAAAGAAAGTTAAACAGTTTGTGCATAGAATTGTTGTTTTTTTCTTCAAATATTTCTCTCGTTATCAAATTACGTTTGTCTGCTTTAAATTATATTTCACGTAAGTAGAATGAAATTTTTCAATACTTTGTATTAAATTTTAAAACCAATTGTACTGATTTGTCATAGTTAAACAAATTTCATTTCTTCTTAAAAAATATCATCGTTTCGCATTAAAAACTCTTACAAATCAAATTTGCATAGATTTTATAATTATTCTTCGTAACTCAGTTTACACTTTTTTTTAGATTTAGAAATTTGTATTTATTTCTAATTATAAAGTCATATCTTTTCACTATATTTTCTTAGTTTGCAGTTTTTCTAATAAATTACATAATTTTCAACTATTAGATATTATATTTAGATATTCGTATTTAAATATAATATTAAGAACGAAGAATGAAATGAATTGAAATCATCTTGAAAATTGAAAAAATAACTTGCTACAAATTGTGTTTATTTTTTTCAATTGGATTTTAGTCTCACATACAACAAATGTTGCATAATAACAAGACAATGTCTCACATATTCAAGTGTAAATAAATAATTTTTGTAAAAAGTAATTGAAATAAATGAAATTTATTGATATAATTACGTTTTTTTTAATCATTATTTTGTTTATAAATTATTTCAATTTGTGATATAAAACTTATTTATATACAATTTTATTATTGTTCTCTTTTGTTATCTTATAACCCATTAATCATAATTAGAAATTGTGTTATCGAAAAGGCAAAATTGATAATTGAATTATATGGAAATTTTTAATATACACAACATGTTTTTATTTTCTATTTTTTTTTTGCGATATTTATTTATTTTAAAATCTAATTAAATCCTCATGCGATAATTATTACAACAGTTCGGAAAGTCCTGTCTGTCTTTGGGGAATTACACTCGTCGAACGACATTGATAATTTCTGTTTTCGCTCATTTTTTTTTACCTACCGCAAACGGGGAAAACATTATTCGGCAATTGGTCGCGTGTCGTTATGCAATTTTCCGCAATTACAGATCGATTGTCTCATGAAAACCGTACATAAATTTTGTTAATTTCTTTATAATACGTGTATACAAATACGTGTTCATCTTATGAAATGTTTGGATAGTTTGGAAAGACATTAATTAACAGAAATCTACATAGAATGATTCAGAAATATGAGCGAATCTTTCTAGGTTTATCTTTGACTCATCTGGTATAAAAATATAAACATTTAACTTCATTCTTCAACATTTTTAAATGTGAATATTCTGTGTAGAAATATTCACTTGTGTGCTGTGAAGTATTTTGAAATGCCAAAACTAGTTTATGTATGTCTTTAATTGATCTCAATATTTGAATATAATTATTATTTGACTTTGATCTCCTATCGTACTTATAGATTAATTCTTCCGATTCATTAATCCTTCGCTCGCAAATTTTGGCTGTTGTTCTGAGCTTAACTAATTTACGTTTAGCAAATATGTAAATAAATAACGGAGTTCC